GAGAGAATGTCTCAGAGATGAAGATGACTAGTAGATAAATAGATTGCATATAAAAGTAAGATAAAAAATGAATGTTTTTTCCATGGTGTAAATTAATAGTTCGAACACGCCTACTAGGTCCCCTAATGGATGTACTTGTCCAAGTACCCTGAAAAAGTCTTCCCCAACGTTCTTGACCTTTTTGCGAGTAACTCAAGTACTTGAACTACTTGATGTGCTTGCCAAGTACTTGGATAAGTACTTGCCCAGGTGACCCACAATCTGCGGAAAGCTTAACAAATAAATAACGTACTTGGCAAGTGCTGTTCTTGAATAAATTCTGCACTACTTGATTTCTGTTCTAAAAAAATCAAGTACTTAAAAGTGATGGGAAAATACTTGCCAAGTCCTATAATACATGTCAAGCATTTGTCAGGACCTTCTATTTCTATTCTTTATCAGTAAGAGAACACTGTTATTCCCAGAAAGTTCAAATGATCTGCACAATACGTCGAGTACACACAAGAAGTAAATTAAAGAAATTTTGAATGTATGCATCACAAGTAACACTTATTCTGAAGTCAGAAAACTTGAGGTTCGATTTTTCTCCTGGTAGCGTTCCGTAATTTCAAGATTTCTCGAGCATTTTACGTGCTAAACATCTGCAGTTGGTCTTGAAATATAGCAAACACTATTTTCCAGAGTAAAACAGAGCCCAACGACCCACTTTCGCGTTTGTCGCTAAGGAAAGCCAAATGTTGCTGAAAAGTCAGCACTCTGTTGTGAAAACTCGATTTGGATAAAAGAAGTGTCCATAGTTTCACACGCATTTTTCTTTAATGATCATTTTCTTTGACGTATACGATTGAAAATAGACACAAATCCTGACCAAAATGATTTAACCTTGAGACGTATTACTTCCCACGTGAAACATAACTGAGGTTTAATAAGCCATGTAATGCGTATTAACTGTACGCGAAAAAAACTGACTTTTAACACCCAAATAACTGTTGAAAAACGGCCAGGTAACAATCAATTTATTGTCCGTTATGTGATTGTTAATAAAGGCGGGAGAAGAGGCATTTAGCATACCACATAATGTTGAAAAAAAGACAGTTAACAGTCACTGTTTACTGTAAATTTTTGAGTCTTATAATGGCAAAAACAGGCATTTAACGGTGCATCGTAGAGATGCTAGTTCATCATTGTTCACTTTTCAAAAAGTCGTCCACACGTGTGTTCATCAGTCAGAATTTTTTCAAACACTTATTCGTATAGAGATAAATGTTTTCTTCAAAATGAGACGTTGCCGAACCCTATGCGCTATATTTTAATCAAAAGTTATAAGCATTTTTCTAAAAGCACCCAAGACTCTGCTTTTCTTTTCTTTCTTTCATCCAAATCGATTTTTCTCCTGGTAACGTTGCGTAACTTCAGGATTTCGTAGAGATTCTAGTTCATCATTTTTCACTTTTCAAAAAATCGTCCACACGTGTGTTTATCAGTCAGAATTTTTTCAAACATTTATTGGTATAGAGATAAGTGGACAGACGAGAAAAAGAATATGGAGAAATGAAATATGAAAAAGAAAAATGAACCGAACAGAAATAACACTAACGTCTTTCTTTTATCCAAATCGAGTTTTCACAACAGAGTGCTGACTTTTCAGCAACATTTGGCTTTCCTTAGCGACAAACCCGAAAGTGGGTCGTTGGGCTCTGTTTTACTCTCGAAAATAGTGTTTGCTATATTTCAAGACCAACTGCAGATGTTTAGCACGTAAAATGCGCGAGAAATCTTGAAATTAGGAAACACTACCAGGAGAAAAATCGAACTTCAAGTTTTCGGACTTCAGAATAAGCGTTACTTGTGACGCATATATTGAAAAATTGAGAATCGCATTCATTACTTCTTTTGGACAGTAGTAGCGGATTCCTCTAGAGAAATCGCCATAGGTTGTCTTTGTGACCATAAAGTTAGTGTTTTTAAGCATATTTAAGTTAACATATTTATTGAGTGGGTTAAACAAAATTGTGAAAAATGTTAAACACACAGCACTTAGTCAACCTAAGGGTGGGAATACACGAATGTATGCCTCTCCAGAAAAGCCGTTATCCACAGGGCTGAAACGAACTACTTTAGAGCGCGACTCCATATTAAAATGGTACGAGAAAACCGGCTCCAATTTTATGGGCGAAGAAAACAGTTTTTGATATCTCGACGTAGCTCATAAACAATATGGTTCAGGAAAGATGATTAGTGTTGTTTACGTAACATGTACAAAACCGGGGGCTGTTCCGCCCCTAAACGCACCCTCAAACTTTGCCAGTTTGTGGAGAATGCGTTGGGTGGTATGCCTATGCAGAAAAAAACTCGTTGATCAAATATTGACCGAGTTATTAACTAATTAACTTCAAAAATGAATTGAAATTTTTAGTTTGACAGGCATCTTTTAAAACCTTTCTAGTTTTCGATATATATTTTACATTCAATTGACTGGGATGTACTTTATAAAGAATTGTTTGTAGATAAAATTCCATACAAAAACAGTTGAAAAACGATATTTCTGACCGTTTTTTATTTGCTAATTAGTTCTGGTTAGCACTATTTAGTGGCACTCCAGAAGACAAAGTAAATTTTCCTAATGTCAGAACAAATGGAAGCAAATCATGCGTAATATATGCGTAAATATACCATTCGATAGAACTTTTCGAGCTCTATCGATGGTTCGATCCACGTTTTCGTTTTTGCCTTATTTATCTGCAAAATCAGTTTCAAATCATTTTTGGAGTCAAAAACTGACTAATTCTTAATTTTCTCAACCAGAACTGAAGTTCTATGTAATAAAAATACCATAATCGGAATCAGGATCGAAAACTGAGTAGATTGATGTGTATCTCTATCATATGCGAGCCCTTTTAAATTTTCCGAATTTTCACGTTGAAAAATCATCGAGATTTGCATCAAACAATGAAAATGAACCAAAACTTTCGAAATCACAGACAGTAAGGGCTACTATAATGGCAAAGACAGACATTTAACTGTGCATCGTAGAGATCCTAGTTCATCATTGTTCACTTTTCAAAAAGTCGTCCACACGTGTGTTCATCAGTCAGAATTTTTTCAAACACTTATTCGTATAGAGATAAGTGTTTTCTTCAAAATGAGACGTTGCCGAACCCTGTGCGCTATATTTTAATCAAAAGTTATAAGCATTTTTCTAACAGCACCCCAAAACTTCTAAACACGCCAAAACTAAGCATGTCATCATATGATCCGACATATTTTATTAGAGTGGTCTTTTATCACAAAAAGAGTGACCGAGGTTTGATCACTTGATCTATTAGTGGACAGACGACAAAAAGAATATGGAGAAAAGAAATATGAACAAGAAAGATGAACAGAACAGAAAAAACACTAACTTTTTGGTGACAAAGGTGTGCAAACGTTTTTCGGTGACATTTTTTTCTTACCTAATAGTTCACAACAAGATTTTCTGTGTATACACTTGACACCTTTTTGCCTGTTCTGTGCGCGTGTCCACAGTTTCATACGCATTTCTCTTTAATTATTATTTTTTTGATGTATACGATTGAAAATAGACACAAATCCTGACCAAAATGATTTAACCTTGAGACGTATTACTTCCCACGTGAAACATAACTGAGGTTTAATAAGCCATGTAATGCGTATTAAATGTACGCGAAAAAAACTGACTTTTAAACCATTAACTGAATTTAATCATGAACTGACTTTTCACTTAATCTATTAGTGGTCAGACAACAAAAAGAATATGGAGGAAAGAAATATGAACAAGAAAAATGAACAGAACAGAAAAAACTCTTTCACATTCATCGCCTCTCACCAACTCTTACCGTTTGGCAGACCCTGCCAAGTTGTGCTGTGAGTCGGGCAGAATGTTTTGCAATTCCACGAGAACGCCAGAATCCGCCATATCGTCGTTCACACTCAGATGGTCTCTACGAATTGGCAGATCCTGCTCAATTCTGCTGTTTTCCTGGCAGAATCTGGTGCAATTCTACCAGAAGTCAACCTGAATGCACTATATTCTGTTTCACGCTCAGATGCTCTTTACGAACTGTAGATCCCGCTCAATTCTGCTGTGATTCTGACAGAATCTGGTGCAGTTCTACCAGAACTCAATTTCATTGCCTCTTCATATAAACCTTGACGTGAATAACGTGAGCCCACATTATAACATCGCGCTCCTATATCACAATCATCAGAGAGCGTGTTATGAAGATGCAGTGATCTGCTTTATCATATTCTCCCATGAGTATCTGAAGAACTCACAGATGAGAAACACTAGTTTTTTGTCCGAATTCTTTTCTCACATAGTCGGCCAAAAACTGTTGGTCTTCTTCGCCATTTATCATTAATTTGACATACCAAATGCCATCCAATTTTCGCATAGAAAGAATTCGGAAAATTATACCTATCGAAAAAAAAACTTCATCTTCATCATGAACGTAACTTAAATCTTTAATATTGACAAACGGTTTTGTGCATTTTTCAATATCAATGTCAATTTCGAATAGAATAGAAGCTATATTAGAACGATGAAACCCTTGGTCGGCGAAGACAAATGTTAATTTCCTATCAGTTGTTGTTGGCCAGAAACTGTTCACTGGCAAAAGACTATCGACGTAGTCTCGCATGTTTTCTAATTCGTCAATGGAAAGAGCCTGCCCTCGATATACAGTTAAAACCTGTGGTTCTCTAAACTGTTCGTCCTGTTTTGATATATTTTCTACAAATATATTTTTCGATGCAGATAGGAAGGGTTGAATGAATTTTGAATGCAGTTCTTTCAACTGGTTATTCAAATCTCTAATAAAAAAGCGAAATTTCAATAGGATATCAATGTCGCGAATTCGTAGAGCCTTATTTAACATTCTATAGATGAATGAGTATCGTGTATATCATCCGACAGCTTTGTCTGGCGGGTATTCTTTATCAAACTCATCAATTTTATTTAATTCGCTTGTGTTATCTACATATTGTAATCGACATTCGGCCATTAATTCTTTGTTAGGACTATCCAATGTCTGCATGTTAAGTAATATTTCGATTAATAGTTGAAACCACATAAATGGTGCTTCTTGTTTATTCAGTTCTTGAATTGATTTTTTATTGCTTGTTTATTTCGAAAGAAACAAGCCTACAATAAAATTAGTCATGAATTGTTGATATTTTCTGAGTGAAAGATGAATTGAAGTTAAATGAGCACGGAGGAGAAACATTCCAATGCAGAAGATATATTTCTCCCCCTTGCATTGGAATGTTTGTACAATAACAGAAAAGGAAAAGATGTACATTTTGTTTTTGACATTCTCTCTCTTCTTCTGTTTAGTTTTGTGAAAGGTCTTTGAAAGAAGACGAAACGTCACACTATTGAATTTGAATTAGAATCAATAAAATGATAGAGAAGTTAATTACTTTGACATTTGCACTATTTAATTCTATCTTCTCCAATGAATTGAGGTTTATCGGCATCCCAAGTAAAAACGACCCAATTTTTTGGGTTATTTATCTAGATTCAGCTCCACGTGCATCTAGATGTACGTGGACCTGAATCTAGATAAATAACCCAAAAAATTGGGTCGTTTTTGCTTGGGATGAGACCATTCTTCAGTTAAACATGCAGGAACGACGAAAAGAATTAGTATTACATAAGTTTTACGATAAAAACGTGCCTGAGATGACAGTAGTATCTCTCTGCTTTTATTAAATGTGAATTTCTTTTATTTACAACCTGATAAAGCAAACCATTTATCTCATTCATCATTTCTTTACTTGTATTATCAAAACATTCTTGCATTATGTCAACATCTCATATTTGTGATTTTCCATGTGGAATATTGTTTGTCATATTTTCTATTGACTCTCATGTCCGATGAGATGCTTTCAACGTTAGTTTACTAGAATGATCGTATGTTTTATTGTGAATTAATATAAAATATTCTCTCAGTTTTATTTCATATTAGCCTTTATCCTTCTAGTAGTAATGGGAACAAAAAGTTTAACTACGTTTTGTTGTTAAAATCACTACAGAACTAAAACTTGTTTTGTCTAGCATAAGGGCACCCCCGCCCCTTTTCGAACGTGAAAACTTTTTCCCGGGTTTCTCAAGAACGGCTTGACCAAAAATTCTGAAACTTCAGGGTATATAGATCTCGACTAGCCGAGCAAAAGTTGTCATAGATTCAGAATTCCTGGATGCTTCCTTCTATAAAAATAGTGGACACAAGGACCAAAAATGATCTGAATTTTTGGTTGAGCCGTTCTTGAGAAACTCGGGAAAAAAATATCAGATGAGAATTAAGTTTCTTCAACGAATAACATTTGATAAATCTCGGGAAAAAAAAGCCGAAAAGGGAAGGGGGTGTTCTTAAGAACTTCTTCATCACTTGCTGATGTCTGTTTATCCTGAAAAATCATGGCTGTAATGGAAGTCATTTTTTAGAAAGATCAAAAGAATAATGTTCTGAGATCAACTAAAACAGGAATATGTCCCTCGGATTTCACAAAAACGTATTGTACATACTAAAGTGCACTGTGTTGATTACAAATGTCACGTGTTTAGCTGCTACTATTAAATGCTTGCTGAGTTTGGATAATTGAAAATTTTAATTGTGGAAAATCAAACGATTGTATCTTCTGATTGACACACTCACAAAGGTTATTTCTGTTTTCTTCATTGAAAACCTTTTATTTTTCAATTAGTGGAAACGCTTGAAGTTTTTCTGTTCATAACCCAGTTTTCAAAATAGGCAGTAGTGTAATATTCTATTAGGCACAACAAGTTTTGGGCTTTAGAGAGTATAACAACAAAAAAATGACTAAACATTCCGTTTGGCCTAGAAGAACGTAACCAATAAGGCTAAAAACAAACAAACAAACGAATATTGTCAATTAAAAATAGATCATTTTTTAACAATTAAAATTGATAATTATCCTAATTCAGTACCGTAGCAGATAAAAACATATTTGTAATCAACTCACTGTATTTTACTATATACGATACGTTTCTTTGAAATCCTAGAGAGGACATTGGGAGATATTTTCTTAGACAGATAAAATGGCACATAAAAAACATTGTTTAGCTTGCAAATCTTATTTTACGATTCTGCAGATAAATTCTCTTCCGAACGCTCCAAATGAAAACAACAAGGCGCTGACTATTGACAAATGTTTACCAAGCAGAAGTTAAAAAGAACCGATTAAACTTTTTGTTCCTTTGTTTATAAGAGGTACAGCTAACGAGAGAACCTCTCCAGGTGTCCAACTCCGTTTGAGCTCATATTTTTGCTGATCGATATGGCACAGTGTAACAGAAAGCCTAAAAGGATTTGGACCAGACCCGTAGTCAGAATATTTTTCTTTTACGTTCTTCCACGTGTTGCTAGGGATCGGTCCTGGCAACACGTGGAAGAACGCAAGAGAAAAATATTCTGGCTAAGGGCCAGATTTGGATCCTTGCACTTTCCTTTCTAGGTTAATTTAGTGAAATTCGAGTTTTGGGTATTTTTACTGTAATGCAACTATTCCAATGGATTAAACAGGTGAAACTCACAGTAATATTAGTCTTAAATAAAGCCCGTTTGCTGTAAAAATTTTCGACCTTAGTCTACTGTCTTTCGTGAGAAATCGAATTTTCTGTTTTTCACCGGGGATCCGTAGTGTCTTGTGAACTGCAGACGAAAAAAAATCGAATCGTGTAATTCAAAAGCGCAAACATTTAAAAATAGTCCAATAGAGATAATAAATGCTTATTGTCAACTTATGAGTGCCAAAGGACATTTGATAATGATTAGGACAGCTTTGCTTAGGACTAATATTACTGTGAGTTTCACCTGTTTAACCCATTGGAATAGTTGCAGTACAGTAAAAATACCCCAAACTCTAATGTCATTAAATTAACCGTAACTTGGAAAGGAAGCCGCAAGTGTTCAAATCCTTTTAAGCTTTCTGTTACACTCATATGCCCTATCAATCAACAAAAATATGAGCTTAAACGGAGTTAAACACCTGGAGAGGTTCCCTCGTAAGTATAATACAATAACGACCGATTTCTTTTTTTTCTTTTAAGAAGGTAAAAAAGACCAACAAACTTTGTCTCTGTCTATTTTTCGACCATGGCGTACAATAATACTCTTTCAATTTCGACTAATCTCGTTAGTTTTCAACTTTTTCCCGTTCTTAAACAGAACAGAAAACATGTTGAATTTATTTTTTTCATAATACTATTCTCTATTTTATTTATTCAAAACATATATTATTTATAAGGTCATATAGTATACTATATTTGAACAATATTAAAAGTGTGTATGAGTCAATCTAATCACACCTATCAACTTTTAATATCGGCTGTTGTTGGTGTTGGTCGAACAATTGGTGGTTTACCATTGCAACATCCACTGGATACAATTCGAACTAGGGCTGTGACAGTTACCAGTTACCGTTACCATCGTTACTCGGTAACGGTAACTGCTGAACAGTTCCCGTTCCTGGTAACGGTAACGGATAAGCAGTTACCGTACAAGTAACGGTAACCGTTCAGTATATCTTTCAAGAGTCAAATCTCTAAATATCTAGGTATCCAGGATGAGGGTGGAAGTTCGTAGCCTCAGCCTCGCTCTCGATATCTAGATATTTAGAGATTTGACTCTTGAAAGATATACTGAATGGTTACCGTTACTTGTACGGTAACTACTTACACGTTACCGTTACAAAGAACGGTAACCGACCAGCAATTACAGTTACTGTAACGATAATGGTAACTGTCACAGCCCTAATTCGAACACGATGGCAAGCAAATCATCAAGCCAAAAATACTCTACAAGTTATTAAAGAAATCTACATAAGTAAAGGTTAGTTAGGATTTTATTCTGGAGCAGTACCGAATACAACTCGTCGAGCCGTTAAACAAACGTATCGTTGGCCAATGATGCTCTATTTTTCCACATTTTATCGTGAAAAAATTCTCTCACAGAATTTACAACAAACTTATCCTCGTTTACCAAAAATACTTACTGGTTTATCGGTTGCTAATTTTGAAATTATTGCTATTAATCCGTTAGAACGTTTAAAAGTATGGCTATTGACAAGTCCACAACGAACAAGTATCACAAAATTTTTTCCAAATAATAAAACACAGCTTGTCAAAGAATTATATCGTGGCACATCAGCGTCAAAATGTACTGTGGGTAACATTTTTATATACCGATGAAGTATCTAAAATAAAATATCGACAATATAAACAAAGTGAACATTTAACACATCTCGACTTGTTTATTCAAGATCACTCAGAAATGATAGTGTCTCTCTACACTTATTAGAAAAAATGGTGATACTGTCGTGCAATCGCCTCACATGCACGCTAACGGACATATTATCAATCTACTTTTGTCTTCAGTTTTTCGCTTTCGTTGTAGAGTGAAACCTTTTTTGAATAGTGATAAATAGATCAAACATTCTGTACAATGAGCCAACTTCGTACTTTGTAGAACATTTGTTCACCAAACTGCACTCATTCTTTTGCTGTTCTTGGGTCGATTCTGGTAGTTTTGTGGATTTCGTGCCTTTGGCAAATTGAATGCAGTTTAATGAAAATATGACAAAGGACTTATTTTGTTCAGAAGCGTTTACTCTACTTATCACAGCTGTTTAAAAACTACTTTCATTTACTTTCAAGGATCTGTATTTCGACTATGCCAGTTTTCATAGACTTCAGACAGCGTTTACACTAATATCTAGTCTACTAGAACGAGGAGAGTATCCACCCAAAAATTAATGTATTTTTTATACGTGCATGGTGGAGAGCATACGAGGTTATCCACAGATTCAATTTCTATACATGTTTTCTCCATGCATCGCTGTACAATTTAATCAATCAGTATTAAGCTTCGAATAAAGAAGAAGCATTTCTTATTAAATACGTTACGTTAAGGACAATAAGTAACATTTTCTCAAAAGAGTCATGCCTTTTTGAGGCTTCCTATCATCTCGTCACGTTTCGAAAACCTCGCCTTTTGTTTGATATGAAGTCCGCGTCAAAGGTATTTACATAACTTTCGTATCCGAAAAGAAGACGAGGCTTTCGTAACGATTTCCGTAAAATGTCCCTCTCAATGAGGGTGGTGTTAGAAATATTTAAATTTGTGCGAATCAATTGATGATAGAGACATGCACTCAAGAGCAAGTTTGTAGAGAAGAGTTAGAACTATTTGATACTAAAAAACATTTTCAAAATCCTGTGTGCCTATGGAGGTATAGTCCAGATATAGCGGTAACGCACTCACTCCTCAAAAGTAAGTTTTGATTATTGAGCAACTTTCTGCATTTTATTATATTTTTGAGTTATGAAATAGCTTGTTTTCGTTTTATTTCAAAGTCCTATAAGTTTCATATAGAAAGAAAATATCACCACATATCTTGTGTATACGTTTTTTCTCACTAATACTCTAGAAAAAAATTGTCTATTTGTTTGTTGAATGGCCATATATCCGACACTCGATCACATCGTTTTGTACGACAACAGTGTGTTTCACTGAAGTTGTGCTATCGAATAACGATTGTAATTGTACCTTTGAGCAATCAATTTCCTGTTCAGTGATTTCATCCAGGATAATAGAATTCGTTTTCGATTTTGCGATATTCACGAAGTCAGAAGCATTTTTGCATCGATCCTTGCTAGTCATAACATGTTGCCAAACCATTCTTTTAATCACTCCACCAATACCATCTACCACGCCCTTTCCGTGACTAGTGGCAAAAAAATTCCATGACAAATCCAATCGATGATCATCAGACATGCGTGTCAAATTTCGAAACATTGATTTTGCGACTGATTTTGTCACCCAATGTGCTGAATGAACTTCATCTTGTTCTTCTAGAGAGAAATTTTCACTATAATCAACTTGCACGACGATATTTTTGTCGTCTGCAGCTGATTTTGATTCCTCGAACAGTTTACTCTGTTCACGTTTAATGTAAACGTATAATAAGAAAGCTTCGATTTTCGACAGTAATAAGCGCGTGCATTGTTCAACTGATCCTTGTTATTCTTCTTTGGTAGCACGTCCATTGATGTTACTCCATTGACACCATTTGATTCGAACATTTTTATCAGTAATATTATTTTCAATATGAAGTTCGAAGTTCTTTTCACAATGAGAACAATTGGATGACATACAATCATAGTTCGATTCGTCACAGACAAGAGCCGATGTAAATGATTGCAAATCCGAACATTTTCCTCCACGTACATGTTCGGACAAAGCACGTAGTAGAGATTGACGTTCTCATGGTACATGCAAACGCAAATGCGATGCATCATACATGACTTCACCAACACGTACTGGACGCAATTCAGCGAAGACACATCGAGCAACAAAGACGCCTTAAACCAACTAAATAAGTATCAATTTCTGGAAGAAAAAGGTAGCTGCATACTCGGATTCTCGCCAAGAAAGAGTTCATAAGTTTCACGAATATTGTACAATAGAATTCTTTTTTGATAAGTTGTTTTCGTGCCATTTTCTTTCACGACAACAGTGTCACGTTTTCCAGGCATTTGATAGGAAATATCGTCTCGACTATAAAAAGAAATAATATCATCCTTGACTTTTGCTGGTAGTTTTCGTGTGACTCGTTGGTAAACTTTACCTCATGATAAAGAGTACGCTTTCTGCGTATCACGGTATACAAAACCGATAGAATGAAAATCATAACAAGGATGACGATGAAAATTATGGTGACTGGGTGTGAAAGCCAACTCTCGTCATGTGTTTGGTCATTACGAATATGTGCATCTTTAGAATTTGTAATAATGATCTCTGTATCAGACGATAAATTCAACGATTGTTGATATAGCAATAGTTTGTCAAGTACGTAATCATACCCATTTGAGAGCGTACTAGAAAAAATATAGAATATGATTCTGATGATTACCTTGTGATAATCTTCTGGGAAGTATTACTTATTGAACATCGGATTAGAATACATAATATGTTTCTCGTTTACAAAAATAAGGGAGTGTTGATATCGAGAAAAATGCAAAAAAATGCTTGAATGAGATCTGCTGCGTAAGATTTAAACATTTTGAAGAAGTTATCTTACTCGGGAGATATCATAGTAAACCACAGGATTGCCTTTTGCTTTTCTTATTGCTTCATCAGTCAGTTTTATAATGTATCGAAAAAAACCGAGGAAGAACAAAATCTTATCATTAATGCCAGCCAGTCACAAGACAATACAATAGTATTCTCATATGACGAAACATGCTCTTTTTTGATAGATATATGCTTTAAAAAAAAACATCGGTACATGAGAAACAAAATGCATACATGAAGAAAACACACATTTGTAGTAGTTTGAAAGCGAGTCTGAAATACACGTTCTTCCTTTCTTTATACTGGAAGCATCCCCTTTAAATATATTATGTATTAAATGTATGGTGCAACGACGCGTATTTTGAGTTCCTAACGAGGTAAATAGCATGTTAGTTTCTCATCTTGGATACAGACAGATTAGAAAAAAGGCAGTCAATTGCTGGTTAGTCATCGGTTCCGAAGAAGCGAGAATCGAACATCCCTAACAAATATCAATCCAACTGACAGTATCAGTGATTACATTTCTTGAGTACGTATTGTAGTATTTGCCTTCGTACACCCTTTAGCTCTCAAACTCAGACTGTGCAAAGAAGATGGCATGGTTCTATGGTGTAACGGTTAGCACTCCAGACTCTGAATCTGGCGATCTGAGTTCAAATCTCAGTAGAACCTGAGGTCTTTTATTGGTGTTGTTTTCTTCTTGATGCTTA